CTTTACGGAGAATAATTATTGTAAAACTTGCGCGAAGAAATCCAACAAAAACTGACTGCGAAATACACAACCGAAAACCGACCCGAACGCAGGCAGGAACCCTCGTCGGAGCAACTGTGCAGCGTTTCCGACCTCTCATCCATGGGCGCGAATCCAGGGACGCGCATCAAAAAGTTGATAGCAGACACCAAGCTGCCTCTCGCAGTTCAGTACCACGTTCAGACAAAGATCAGTGGACCCGAGGACTAACGCGACAACGACTACTCCGAGGACTAACGCGACTACCCCGAGTCCACTAGCCTCCGGCCACTAGTTATCCGTCCGGTGCGGCTGGTTTTTGTTTACTTAGTTTTGATGGACCTAAGACAACAGCTGAACAGACAACTAAGTGGACCTTGCTAGTTAGTGAACCTTGCGTGCCCGGTCTCTTCCTGTGTGGCTGATCTGACTCGTCTTAACGCTGCTCGTCGCCCTCTATTCGTCGCCCTCTATTCGTCGCCCTCTATTCGTCGTTCTCTATTCGTCGCTCTCTTCGTCCAGTTCAATGACGCTTACGGGGTCTTCAACGAGCTGCCGGAGTTCCTTAAAACTAGAGCACTGCTGCAGCCCCTTCTGGATCAGCTGCGCGACCGTGATTGTTTCTGCGGTCGTGTTACACCGCACCCAACAACTAAATAGGCACATGTGCCCCTCCCTAATGGTCTGCCCCCATGTTCCCCTCCCTAATGGTCTGCCCCCATGTTCCCCGGTATCCGTAATGGTCTGGTGGTATCTCCCCCGACGGTATCTCTCCCGACGGTATCCCCTCCCGACGGTATCTCTACCGACGGTATCCCCTCCCGACTATCTTCTTCCGACTATCCCCTCCCTCTTGGGTGGTGCTTTCCAGTCCCGTGTTTTTCTTACAATCCATTTATGCCGGTGGCGATTTCGAAGGGTTTGATCTGTCCGATGAGGTGTAGAAGGGAGCAGTCTGTGGCGATGAGAATTTGTGCATGGTGGAGCGGGACTCGGAATAGGAGGCCGGTGTTGCCGAGGGGGCCCAGGTAGCACTCGCGGCTGGACCAGGTCTTGGGTTCATTGGCTACCACACAGGTGAGTAGCAGTTCATGATGTGTGTGTGCCACACACACACCTGCAATGACGGCGTCCCCGACCTCCAGGTTGGGCGCGTTCTGTTTTGTGGCGCCGTTGAATGCCGTCACAGATAGTAGCGCCTCCTTACTTGCCCCAATGTCCACTTTGTAAAACTCGGGCAACCGCTTAGTTACTTGCCCCACCACCACTTCGCCTAACTTGGGTAGGTATACCGCCGCTCGGTCTAGTCGCAACCGGTCTTGTCGCACACGCCCACTTGCACCCACGCTGCTTGCAACATTACTCGGATTCGAACCCGCGTTCGGACTCCAGACAGTTGTCCGGTACGCGTTTACATACAAGTAGTTCCCGTCCTCGAAGGGGGCCGTGCAGGCAAATCTCAGCCCCGGCACGTCGCCTGGTAACAAGACCATTTTCCGGTCGAAAAAGGCTCGGCAGAATTGTTCAGGTTTTCAGAAAATGAACCGAAACATTTATGACACTGACTGCGTAACCTGGTCACCGCAAGGACGCATCTTTCAAATCGAATACGCAAATGAAGCCACCAAACAGGGCACGTGCTGCGTCGCCATCAAAAGCAATAGTCACGCCGTAAGTTCCACTACCTCAACGTCGCCGGTTCGAATCCTTCCTACGCTCTCTCTACCCTGCTCTCTCTACCCTGCTCTCTCTACCCTGCTCTCTCTACCCTGCTCTCTCTGTAGGTATTGGTAGCATTGCGCCGAAGCATTTCGAAGCTGGCTTCGCACAACTCGAAAATCTTCAAAGTCGACGACCATGTCGGCGCCACCTTCTCCGGCATCACAGCGGATGCGAATCTCATCGTGGATCAGATGCGGCTCGACTGTATGAACCACAAATATGTATATGAGAGCAATGCGCCGGTGGGTAGGTTGCTCGAAAAAATCGGTACCAGTAAGGCACACGGGTGTTGTACACATGTGTGGGTGTGTCCGGGTGTTGTACACATGTGTATCTACCTTGTGTAATCCCGTGTTGTAGCGTCTCAGAAGAACACGATGTCGTACGGGAAGAGGCCGTACGGTGTGTCATTATTGATAGCAGGTGTGGACAAGAAGGGCGTGCACGTCTTCGAGACGCACCCAACGGGTGACTACGACGAGTACGTAGCGCACGCGTTCGGAGCGCGTTGTCAGAGCGCACGTACGTACCTGGAGCAGCACGCGAGCGAGTTCCCGGAGGCGGCCGAAACGGAGTTGGTGGCACATGCCCTTCGGGCACTGGCCTCCACCGTGACGAGCGATACTGGAGACCTGACCAAGGACAGCGTTCACGTCGCACTCGTCGGTCTGGATAAGGAATTCGAAAGTAACAATAACACCCCACGACCGCCCTTAACACCGCCCCTGAGGGGTCACTGACCCTAACGTGCCCCCCCCCTCCCCCCTCCCCCTAGTGACTCCCCCCCTACTGGTATCTCTAAGCCTGTTCCTGACGGGCACAGGCCCCGTGAGCGTGGACTTATATTCCACATGTCTTCTCTGCAGTTTTTAAGCCCAGTAAAGTGGAGGAACTTCTGACTCAGTTTGATATCAAACCCCAAGAGATGGCCACCGACGAGTAGGTAGTCCAGCACGACGAACAGCAAGCGGCCGAACCGAACGGGACGAGAAGACCACGGACGAGTAACGGAACAGCCCGCTGGACTCGCCGTGCCGTGGCGATTTGCCAAAACGATAGCGGGGGCTAAAGCCCCGATACGGGGGCGAAAGCGGTGTGCCGAAAGCGTACGGCCAGAGAATGAACTTTTTGGCATGAACGGTACTTACCACATTTTTGACGAACCGCACGAATGTAGTGCCCGGTGCAAGGAGGAGCTCTTTGACGCACAGACCGTACAGTGTTTGTTCGGCGAACTGTTGGAGTCTGAATGCACCTTTTACGCAATCGTTACTAAACGATTCCTTGATTACAGCAACGGCTGCCGCGTCCGCGTCGATCCTGTGGACGATCCTGTGTTGATGGACGAGTCCGTGCGGGTTAAAGCCATGACGGACTCGCCCCAAGGCGCCGCACGGGAGGCACCTGTTGGGCAGGACGAGCCGGTTGTTCAGCCTCACCCACTCCCTCCGCCCATTTTGCTGCATCAGGACAACGTTTCGTTGACGAATGAAGATTCTGGAGGAACAGTGGCATTGCCGCCGGGAATGGCATTGTCGACAGTGGACGCAGGATCCTTGCCCCTGGCACAACAAGGGCTACAGCAAGCAGCTTTCGCGGCGCCGGAGTTTTCTGTACAGTCTCGAGGAATACTAACCAGAGACTTCCAGGAGCCAGACGCGAAGCTCCCGTCAGACCCGAAGCTCCTGTCAGATCCGAAGCTCCTGTCAGACGCGAAGCTCCTGTCAGCATCGGTTCAAATCCGGGGCGTCAAATCTGTGATCCAAACCCTACAGTACATGTCAACGCCCTTCGTCATGGATCTAGGTATTCAGGGACCACTGGTTGTTTCTGCTGTGGACATTGATATAACGAAACATGAGGAGATGCAATGCATTTCTCGCTTGACTATCTTGGCCTGTTTCGGCCAGAATTGTACCTTGGATGATTGCGAGGATTACCAGAATTTAATTGATTATTTCAATTTACAGGATAGTATTAAACAGAATAATACATTGTAAGTCACGCCTTCGGTGTTAACACAATGGTGTGAAACAGACACTGCCGTACACGTGTGTTATTATATACACACACGTGTGTGATGTGTGGGAATGATTGCTTTGCACAATCCCATGTATGATTGTGCTCAACCACACATGTGGTTGTAGTTTGCTAAGACGAAGGGAAGATCTGTATCTTCGAATTAGCGCCAGTGAGCAGTCGAATGAGCCACTATATGTGGACATCTCCCAGGAGTTCGAGCTGGAGGGCAAAGCAGGTTATGCATCATTACAAATTAAGCGCAACATAAGTCCAAGAGTGATTGTGTTGGGTATAGAATCTTCTACAGCCCATTTTTGTTCGCAGAGTCGATACGATATGATCGAAGTCCAGCTGACAGGAACCAACAAAAAACGTTCCGATTTCGGTCGTGTTATGGAGAGTATGGCACCTCACCTTGCGACCCCAGGAAGCTTGCTGCTCCTCCTCCTCCTGTGCTACCTGCACGGCATCTTTTTTACCTTCGCCTATGTGACGTTCGCCACATTAGCGATGGTGTGGTATTAACACCTAGTGTTAGAAAGGATCGGAGGATCGGAGTGTTATTGATTTTCGTTGCGCATGAACATGATGTGGTGGCTATGGGTTTTGTTACACTCATCAGGCTCCTTATGGACTACGGCCTCGTCGGCAACATTGTCTTCGTCGTCGTCGTCGTCATCGTCGTGGGTTTTGAAGGGATCGCCATCTGGATGTGAATCCATGTGTGCGAATTGCAAGAGTGTGTCGGAGGTGAGGGCATGTGTGGAAGCGCAGAATCCGGACGATTGCGTTTTGCGTTTGCGAACCATAGTATCGGTGTCATCGGCACCGAATGTATGCGGTGACCGTGCCGTGCCTGCTGTTCAATACTGGGTTATGGAACCCCCGGCGCCAAGTGGGATGATACTTGAGTACTTGCGTGTTCGTGTCCGTGCCTTGATCGGTTCGCCGCAGTCCCACCAACTCGACGAACGCATGTGCGAAGCCAGCCTTAAGTTCCGCGTCCTTCAAGTGACAAATATCACCCAAGCAAAACTTCATGTTTGCGATTCTCAAACTGTCTCCAACACCACTGCCGTACCCAACACCACTGCCGTACCCAACACCACTGCCGTACCCAACACCACTGCCGTACCCAACACCACTGCCGTACCCTGGACCTTCAACTGGATGGAAGACGAAGATCAAACAACCATCTTCGTCCCCAATGCCGTTTACGCCTTCAGCCCCGGCGATACTTGGTTCATCGTCAAGGGCCATCAGTCCTGCACCTCACTCGCCTTCTACAACCTTCAACTTGTCTTTAATCTTGACAACCTTCAAACTTCAAACGCGCACTTCTGGCCCAAGTGGTGGTGGCTAATCACCCTCGCAAGCCTCACTCCACTCTAACCAACCTCCCACTACATAACCAAGACCTTTCCGAGCTTACCAAGACCGCAACTGGTCACCGCCCTCCTTCACCCCCCGCCGCCCACACAGCCAACCCACTTACCACCGGCGTTGGTGGTTACTTTTTGTAGTCAGTATTTTAACCATCTCGCGCACGTGCGACGGATGCTGGTCGATGTGGACGATGCTGATCTGCATTCTGGGGCTAGTTGTCCTGGCGGAGTTTCCTCAGCTCAAGTTGACGGAGAGTTCGGGCGCGCGTACTGACCTCCACGACAACAGAAACGAAAACCTAAGGGGTGGTGGGACAAAAGGGGTCAAGCTCCCAGGAGGCGGGATCAAGCTCCCAGGAGGCGGGATCAAGCTCCCAGGAGGCGGGATCAAGCTCCCAGGAGGCGGGATCAAGACAGAGGTTTTGAGTTCGGAATTTACAAGGAGTTCCGAGTCGGTGAAGCGGAACCAGTGGCAGGTGGAGTTGGAGGGAAGTTGCGAGGATGACGCCTGTGTGCGTATGAGTTCAGATATCGCGACGATCTCGAGTTGTCTCTCGACGCTGTGCGCGCGCTGTTCTTATCATGCTGTGGACACCTTCGACGTCACACCGGCTGAGACCGTCTGTGGGCTTCCCCTCCTCCCCGCCAGTGCCCCGTGGCTCCTCAAAATGGAGCCGCCCAGCTCCTGGACCCTGCGGAATATCACCGTCGAACTCACGGCTGATGTCAACCAAGTCACTCGGAATGGCAACAGGAGCCGGGACGGAAGTCGAAGGCGAAAGCGTGGCTGGGAAGGGAATGGGAGCCAAGATCTGATCGAGGCACAAGGAGCCGCGTCCTGCCCCCAGACCATCCGATTCTACGCGATGACGCCGTTGCAAAATGAAGCCGACCGCTCGGCGCAGGTCGCTGGTTCGAAACCGGTCGGGCGCTCAAGGGACGGAATTCAATTTCCGGCCACAGATTCCGTTGCAGGTCTTGACGCGCGGATTCTACACGAGGTCTGCAGCAAACAGGTTTTGCCTGACTCCAGCGTTGCTGCCCTGCTCGAACTCTCCATGACGCAGGTTGAGATTGAGAACGAGACCGATGACAAGATCGATGACAAGATCGATGACAAGATCGATGATGAGATCGATGATGAGACCGATGATGAGACCGATGATGAGACCGATGATGAGACCTCACAACTGTTCACCTCCAACGGACGCTATTACGCTCCACAGTATCTCATTGCCCTAGGGGACCCCGTCCTCTGCGCTAACTTGCACTGGCACAAGCAGAGCATGCTTCTACTCGACGACAACCATCTCCAGCACGATGATGCTGGACTTCGTGTTTTTTCTACACTGTTCAGCGGGTTATTATTCTTGTTGTAACCGATGGCTTTAACTGATTACTCCATCGGTGGCTACTGCTCTGAGATTCGAGCAGCAGGTGACGACTGCTCTGATGCGGACGATCCTGCCTGGAGGGGGTCAACCCAACTTGAAAAAGGTCGTTTCGCTTTTGTTCAAAAATGGTTTCAATAAACAATTCGCCACCAAACATCTGCACCAGACAGCGGCAGAGACACACACACAGACTTGCACGAGCGAGTGCGTCACACACGCGCGTGTGTGTCATACTTGCGCGAGTGTGACAACTGCGATGGCGAGGAGGGTGTGTCCGAGCACGGCAGCGTCGACGCCGGTGGCGTCGAGTATGTTGGTGTCAAGGAAGTGCATCTCGAAGCCGGCGTAGGAGAAGCCGGTGCACATGCTGCCGTCACCTTCCAGTGTGACGTAGGTGTCGGCGTGCGGGAAAAGGAGGACGGTAAGAGTGTCGGCGACTCCAAGTGCGGTCCAGCGGGTGGGTGTGGCCACGGTGGTCTTGGGGCGTTGATTCTGACACACGGCGGCTTTAAAGTCTTCTTCGGTTGCGCCTTCGACGAGTTCGTAGCCGACGAAGTCGAAGCTGCCAAGACAGGCTGCCGCACTGCCGTTTTCGGGACCTGTGAGTTGCACGGCGAACTCATCTGCAACCCAAGTCGAATCCAGTCCCGGCTTGAAGGCGAAGATCTCATCTGCCGCCGCTGTTGTGCTACACAATTCCATCGCCGTTGCTGCCGTAAACACGTCTCGTGCTGCGTACGGACACGGCAGTGCGTGGATGCACGCCGAAAACTCGGCAGGCGCCAACCCCGCGTCACATGACTCCGCACACCCTCCCGCCAACAACGTAAACGCGTGCTCACCCGCAAACACCACCAAACATAACAAGTGTAGACGAATCATCGCCCAACCGACCTGACCACACACTGACCACACACTGTCCCGTCGCGTCTCCCATGTCCCGAGTATCACGAGTTTCAATGTTGAAATTAAAACTTAAAATTGATCGCACCCAACTAGCGCGTTTCTGACAGAGCAATCGTTTCCCATATTCTAAAAACTTGCTACAACACGTACAACACACTTGCTACATCATTTAGAGAAGAGCTGAGAGGCCCAGAGCTATCGTAGCTCCAGCCAGAACAGAAGCGCCGACCCCGCTACCGCTCAATACGTTCGAGTCTGAGAATTGCATAGACAACGACGAGTAGGTGATGTCCTTGCACTTCGCTGCTTCGCCTTGTATAGTAACGTAGTTGCCAACATGGGGGAACAAGAACGTAAAACTGTTCGTGTTCTTGTCGGTGTATAGAGCCTTCCACTCAACCTCTGTAGCCACCTTCTCATCCGGTACCTTCTTGTCAGTGCACACAGCTGCCTTGAATGTGTCTTCCTTCACACCTTCCACCAATGTATAAGTCGCGAACTTCAGTGTACTCATACAATCGGCTTTTGCCGTGGCGTCGGGAGTGCCATCAACGACAAGCGTGATGTTGTTAGCTGTCCAAGTCGTGGGAATCTTAGGGGAAATGGTGAAGAGATCGCCTCCGTTAATAGGATCCTTATTCGCGCAAAGTTCCTCGCTCGTCTTTCCTTTGTAAGTATCCACTGTTAGGAACGTGATGCCGTCAGATGTCGCCTTGTCATGATAGCAAGTAGTGAATTCGGTGATGTCCTTAATGCCACTGCACGTAGACTCATCACAAGCCCCTGACTCACAGTAGAACTTGAACTCATGACTTCCAGCCAGGGCACTTGCAAACAGAATTGAAGCGGTGAAGAGCTGGCTAACCATGATTCAGAAAACGAAATTACTGATTTAAAATTAAAAGCCTCCTCCAGGTGCTGTGCCGCGTCTCTAGTGGTTGGTGCGTCGAGACATAACATCTCAATGACGGGCCGGCAACGGGGTTTTTGATATAAGGGAGACAGAGGGAGACAGAGGGGGACACACTCCTGCCTGACACGATACACCTATTCCGCGACTCAGACGACGAGCTCAGCACCCAGCAGGCCATCCCCCAGCACTCAACACCAGCACCGAACAGGACACATTAGTGATGAGATGAAATTGGGGCCTGAGCGTTGATTCCATCAAAGTCACTTGCCTTTATTGGATTCAGTAGCCCTTTGAAAGCCTCGCCTTTCGGACAGACTTCCAGGCTATTGTTCCCACGCATTGGTTCCCATGTGTTACTAAAAAAACTACCAACCACCTACGTAGGCGAAACCACTATACACCATCAGGAGCTCCGAGAAGGTGATATCCTTGCATAACGTGGGATCACCTTGGATAGTTATGTAATCACCAGGGTGTATGCCTAGGAAGATAAACGTATAAGTAGTCTCGGTGGTGCAAACATCGTCGTAGTAAGCCTTCATGTCAACCCCCTTAGCCAGGATGTGATCCGGTGTTCCTTCTTTGTCATCCTGTGCTTCTTTGTCATCATGTGCTTCCTTGTCATTGCACACAGTGGCCTTGAATTGTGCTTCATCCGCATCTTCAACCAACGTATAGCTCATGAACTTCACTGTATTCATACAATCGTTTACAGCCGATTTATCGTGAGGCTCATGAGATGTAAGATTCACAACATGAAGATGCCACACAGTAGGAATCTTAGGATCCATAGTGAACAGATCGCTTACTCTAATAGGATCAGTATTACCACATAGCTCATCCTTAGTATCTCCTATGTAGTTATCGGATGTTCTAATAAACTCATAGGTGTACAATGATTCATTAACATAGCAATCAGTGAACTCAGAAATATCCGTAATATTAGAACACACTGGGATAGGACAAACAAAGTCCGGGCTATTTAGAACGCAATCAAACTCAAAGTCGTGAGTTCCACCCAAAACACTTATAAACAAAGTGGAAAGTATACAGAGCTTTGTAACCATGATCAGAAAGAAAATTTATGGACTTGAAGAACCAATACTACTTCTATGTGGTGTGCCTTGTCTCCAGTACAGTGTTCAAAGCCACACATTGCTGATAGAATCATTATATCGTACTGTGGATATCAATTTCCCATACATTTCATTCCCATACATTTCGTTATAAAAAAATTGCGCTCATTGAATTACCATTCTGAGTTACATACCGAGGTGGGCAAGGGCTGCGAATTCCACCGATATACTCGTGTAATCGATGTCCTTACACTTCGTCGTATCGCCATGGATAGTTATGTAATCACCAGCGTCAGGCGTAGTGAATATAAATATGATGTTGTCCAAGGCACTCTCCTGCACGTCGAATATAGGCCTCCACTCTGTCATCGTAGCCACCCTCTCATCTGGCGCTTTCTTGTCATCGCACACAGCAGCCTTGAATTGTGCTTCATCCGCACCTTCAGCCAACGTATAGCTCGTGAACTTTAATGTACTCATACAATTGACTAGAACCAAATCCTCAAGCGTGCCATGAGTGGTAAGATTCACCATGTCAACTGACCACGGTGATGGAATTTTAGGAGATATCGTGAAGAGATCACCTGCTTTGATAGGACCCACAGTCCCACAAAGCTCATCCTTCGTATCTCCTTTGTAAATATCCGATACCATGATCCAGGAACCGTCTAATGACTCCTTAAGACAACAATTAGTGAATTCACCAATATCCCTGATCCCACTACACGCAGGCCTATCACAAGTCCCTTGGACACCCGGGTAGCAATTAAACCCAAAGTCATGAGTTCCAGCCAGGGCACTTGCGAACAAAATGGTAGAAAGCTTGGTAACCATGATCCGAAAGTTAAATCAGATCCGAAAGTAAAATCAGATCCGAAAGTAGACACACTTGAAAAAAAATAAAACCTCCTTTAGGTGGTGTCTCTGGCGTCGCTTGTCAGCTGGACAGGATGTCAAAGGGGTTGTGTATCCCTTAGATGCGCGCCCCTTGCCTGATTTTTTACCCAAAGCTCTGATGGCTATGTTTCTGTCCGACTCTTCGGGTCGGTCTAATGGTCGTCGTCGTCGTCGTCGTCGTCGTCTTCACTACTGTAGTTGGCTAGGAGGGAGGTCGGCGCTGATTTACGGTGGGTTGTGGGGTGGAGAATGTTGACACGAATTCCCAGCACGTTTCCAGCATGTTGTTTATTGGAGCCATCGCCGGGATTCGAACCCGGATGTTGGTGGTCTGAAGGGAGGTGGAAAGCGAGCTCGGAGGCGGGTTCGATGTGCGAAGGGGGTTCGATGTCCGAAGCGAGTTCCTCTTCCCGTAGTTCCCGCTCTCGTCGCAAGGTACGGATAGTTTTTTGTATGTCTTCGTCGACTCGTTGCGTTTCGAGGAGTTGGTCAGTAACAAGGTCGGCGGAAAGGAGGAAGGCTTTATTGATGGCTTGGAGGCGCGCGATGGATTCTAGATCTTGTATTTCCTGGGCGGTGTTGATGGCCTTACGTTCAAGTTGTTCCATGGTTCCAAGTTGTTGTTGGTCATGTTGTGCGCGATCTTTTTCTTCTTGTATTTCCTTAGCAGCCAGGGCCGCATCGAAAAGTCTGTGTCCTCCAGACTCAATAACATAATCCGTATTTTTTGGGTCCGTCTTGAGCACAATAGGAGCATGACACTCATGGCACTTACCACTAATACGCCAAATTGGAATACCTAAATAATCCTCCGTTTTCAAACGCTCAACACGTGAGTTAAACTTAGTACCAACAAACGTAACCTCTTCACATCGTTCGCAAACCAAACTGAATGGCCACAACATACGCAATTCCATCGCACCCCTTCGACTAGGTCCACCCGTTCTACTCTTCTTCCGACCGCGACCCACTTGCTTCAAGATGTGCTTGTGCCGATGGTAACTCTCCGGATCAAAATCCGGAGGGTAGTACTTGTTCATATCCTTAACATCCGACATCTTCTACTACACTCCACCTCTGCTCTTCTTTTCACTCCACCTTCTTCCACCGTTCTTTTTACGTGGGGGTATTTTTTAATGGATGGCGACCAGTTCAGCCAATGGCTGTCTACTCTTAAACCTGAAATCAACTATACACGAGGTAATGCCCACACCCCTCCATAATTGTGCCTACCATGGGTACTGCCTATCTCCCGTCAGATACTGAGAAAAACAAGAAGCATGCGGACTATGCGGAAACCTTGATATCACAATACACCGAAATGATGCCCATAGATTTCTTGCGGTTTCTAAAATCTACCGATACACTGAAACAGACGAATCATGTCTTGTCCCAGCATCACAGTATCTCATCCAAACAACGCAGGAGCAGAATAACCAAGTCGATTAACTAGCGTTCGTGGATAACTAGCGTTCGTGGATAGGCGGGTGGTGGGTTAGTTTTTCGTGTAACATCCTACTATCACTAGTGATAGTGATAGTGATAGTAGTGGTAGTGGTGGTAGTGGTAGTGCTTTAATAATAATGACGGATCAGATGATAAAATCTACAATATCATCATCTGAAGTGAGGTCTCTTCGAAGCGCTAAAAAACCTCGTCAAATACATGAGGAGGCGGAAGACGACTGCTGCAATCCGCGGGTCGTCGGTCAGCCTCTTACGCGGTTAGACGCTGTAAGATCGCAACACACATTTGGACACACATTTGGACACAGCTCGGAAATGTGGACACAGCTCGGAAATGTGGACACAGCTCGGAAATGTGGACACAGCTCGGAAATGTGGACATAGCTCGGAAATGTGTTGGTTGCAGTTGAGTATGGACTTTACGGTGGAGAGCCAGGTGCAGATTGATGACATCGTTGGTGTGCCCCGAAATGGTGATCGGTTCGATTATGGGAGTGTTGTGTCTGTGAAGAAGGACACGATAACATGTTTACTGAGTCATGAGCCATTACTTAAGAAAGAACTTCCGCCAATCCTCTGCGGTGTTTTCAACGCACCGTCAAAAAACCGATTGGAAAGAATCAACGCTCTGGAACGGGCGAGCCGAGACTTGCACCACTACCTCACCACTGTCGGAGACCCCAGTCTTCTCACCCCGCCCGTTCGGAACATGATCAGCTTCGTTCAACACCACGTCGCCGTGTGCCTCGCAATTCGCGCTCGCGACTTGGACAACGACGGAAGTGAACAGAACGAGCTTCATCTCAATGAAATTCGCACAGGGTCGGACCGTCCGTCTCGTATGGACCGCCGACCGCAACCGCCGTCGGGCAAACACGACACTTCGCAACTGCTCAAGGACATCGTCGACACAGAACGACAGACAGCGCAACTCCAAACCGAGGCCTTCATCAAACTATCCATGGTAACCACCCAATCCCAATTGTCTCCCCGCGGAAATATTGCCCCCTTCTCACGAACGAACCCTTCTCACGAACGAACCCTTGTCACGAAAGCCCTTGTCACGCGAGTTATCTCAGGCTCAGGAACGAAAGTGGAAGATGGTCAGTAGTTTGGTGGACAGACATCTTGGCTAGATTTCACCCGGTTAGATGTCGCCCGGCTAGATTTCGCCGGATGGAACGGAACATATAACGACCATTTTGTCAAAGCATGTCGGTTATTACTTTACACCTATTTGCGGTATGTGTCGGTTATGACCGCTTTATCGATTACCGCTTTATCGGTGGCCGGTGTACAAGCTACCGCTCTGCTTTGTTGGTCTTTTGTTGTTGTCTTCTAAGTGCAAGTCGTTCCTGGGCAGCTTGTACTTTCTTGTCGCGTTGTTGAGTTGCGCTTTCCTGAGCTTTGCGTTCTTCTTCGCCTTGTTTGATTTCTGGTTGATGAGGTTTGGAGGGACGGAGTAGTGTTTCGATTTTGACGTCTCGTTCATCGCGCCAGGAGTCTTGATCGTTGTGTGTGCGTTCGAGTCCAGAAAGACAGTCGAGGAGTGAGACGTCACGAAGACGTGCAAGAAGATCGCGAATCCACTCATAATGAACAGCACTAGCACAACGAACCAAAGCATTGCCCTGTGTCGACGTCGATGATACACAGCTGGCTATGATCCATTCCGGCGCATCTACTCTCACTGGTGGTCGATCACCACCCGGGGAGAACACGAAGACACCTAACACCGACTCACTCGCTGGCCGCAGTAACAACCCTTCCCGTGCAGATGCCCACCCACGCACAGAACCAGAACCACTGCTCCGTACCAACTTTGCGGCTGACAAAAACATTCCCGCGCATAACGACAGCAATACGCGCTCGCGCTTCTTCAATCGATGCACACCCTCCATCAACAATCCACCAGAGTGTGAAACATCAGAGTGTCTTTCTCTACGAGAATCCTGTGCGAAATGATCACCTGTGCTGTCACCATTTGCAGCCGGAATGGTAACTCTCTCACACACCGGATGGGCTGCTCTCACACTAACCGGATGGGCTTCATGGTGAGATGTTCCACCATGAAGCATGATTTGCTCCACGTCGATCATAGCTTCCAGCAACTGCAAGTGTATACGTGCCGCGGCCGCCATGGTCCTGCTCGACACGCAGTGATTGGCGCACCAGTCACTGGCATCCTTCCCGCTGGCGTGCAATGAGTACTCCGTGAAGATACGCAAGTATGTCAGGTGGTCACCGCCGTCGTCTCGCAACGACCTCATCGTCCGTGCGAGAATCGTGTATGGAGTGTCCTCCGACACAGACACGTCAGACATGGACGATGCAGACTCCTCACCTTCCGACTCCGGTTCGTGTTCCGATCCGGACCGGTCGTGTTCCGATCCGGACCGGTCGTGTGACTCGTATGTGTGTGTCGATCGTTCTGTCGTGTGCGATCGTCCTGTCGTGTGCGATCGTCTTAGGTGAGTCCGTTTTACGTTCGTTGCCGGTGGGATTATGACTTGACCGGCGGAGAGCATCGCAACGACGGCTGCGACTTCGGGGACGACGTCATAGGTCAATGCGGCAATTAGTGTCCTCGCAAGGGTGGGTTCGAGTGGCAGCTGCATTAATGCACGGCCGAGGGTCGTGACACGTAGACCAGGCGCAAGTGCGCCGAGAAGAACGAGGTCACGAAGACCGAGGGCAAGTTGCCGTCGGTCGGGAGCGTCCAAGAACTCGAACTGCAGAATGTTACGAACACCCACAGCTAGTAGGAACAGCACGGCCGCACTTGGATCAGCACGCAATATCTCGGGCAACGGTTCTGGGGCCATTTGTCCATATTGTTCTTCACTATATAAACGCCAGCAATGTCCAGCGCGTGTACGTCCGGCACGGCCAGCACGCTGTGTCGCCTGTGCGCGAGAGATTGGCACTCTATCTAAATTTACCACACCTGTGCCTGGTTCGAATCTTGTCTGTTTCACTGTGCCCGAATCTATGACGTGTCCCACACCGTCGATGGTCAGCGAAGTCTCCGCAATGTTGGTTGCAAACACTATCTTCCGACAATTTCCAGGCACTTCCACAAACACATTCGCTTGCTGACGCGCATCCAAAGTACCGTACAATGGAATCACCGCCGCTGAACCTATCTCCGACCCTCCATCACCACCAGCGTCGGCCATATTCTCCAACATTGCACGCGTCTCTGCTACTGCACGATCACACTCATTCGCCCCCGAAAGGAAACACAAAATGTGCCCCGTACTCACCGCCGTGCCCGCGTGAATACGACAAGCCAACGCAACAGACGCCGACACCGCAGCCCCCGGACTCAACCAGTCCACCCCCTCATGTCCTAATCGACGTCGCTTCCGTCCACCTTTCTCATCCAAACCTCTCTCGCCCTTCCGACTTTCTATCAGATCATCCCTCCCGTCGCCGGTATCCGGGTCCGGGTGGACCACATTGATGGGCACGTGTCTTATGGTCACAGGGTAGGAACGGCCGGCGACATGAATCACTGGCGGGTTGTCGAAGAACTGTGTGATTTTATCCACGTTCAAAGTAGCCGAGGTGACGACAAATCGGACGGGCACGTCTTGTGCACGACGGCGCCCGAATTTGCGAGTCAGTAGTCGCTTTGCGAGTGCTGTGAGCAGATCCATATTGAGTGAACGCTCGTGCGCCTCGTCCAATACAACCACGTCGTAGGCCTCAAAACCGCGGCGTCCGTCAAGACATTCCCGCAACAGCACACCATCTGTGCAGTACTTGATGTAGGTCGCTTCCGAGATTAGCCGGTCCCAGCGCACGGCGTAGCCGACGTCTGTGCCGAGAGCACACCCACGTTCCTCCGCTACACGCTTCGCCACGGAAATCGCCGCCACACGGTGCGGCTGTACACACACTACCCGCAACCGGTCTGGCCTGCGGATGTCGGGGGGCTCGCCGGGACTCGAGCCCGGGCCGGGACGGTCCCGAGTGAGTGCGCGTTTCCAAGCACACAGTTCGGGCGCGTCGGCTACGATTTGGGGAAGTTGAGTTGTTTTGCCGCTGCCTGTTTCGCCGACGAGTACGACGAGTGGGTGCTGGAGCAGGGCCTCAATGACTTGCGCGGTGTGATGTCGGATCGGGAGCTTTTCCATTAAAAATATGACTGAGCCCGCTGCAGATATAAAGTGGGCGGACCTCTCGGAGGAGGAGGAGGATGAGGCGCCTAAGCGGCGGCCTCTCATCCACCGCCAACGAATTGAGCAACAAGAACGAAGCGAAGCCGCCGCCGCCGCCGCGCGAACACAGCAGTTTAATCGAAACGCCCGTGGCCACTACTACGACCACCGAGACCGCGGCGGCGGTGGGACCCGCCTCCACGACCGAGCCCACGACCGGGACCGAGCCCACGACCGAGCCCACGACCGGGACCGAGTCCACGAGCGTTTGTACAATGACCGCGGCGTTCGTGACCGCGACCGGGATCGCCGCAACGGGCCCCCGCAGACCGCCCGTGGGGGACTGGCCCGTCCGCACACGCGCGGCACACTCCACGAGAACAAGCCCAGCGACATCTTGCGGCCGAAACCCGGCTCTTCAATGCAATCGAGCAGACGCACCTCGCAGCCGCAAACCTCGCCCGCGATCAGCAAGCCTGCCGCCACATCGCCCGCCGAGAAGAAACCAGCCCCCAAACTCCAACTCGGCATCATCAACTCCATCACGTAGACGCCCCACCATGCTCACACACGCTCCGTTGCACACACACGCTCCGTTGCACACACACCCTCCGTTGCACACACACCCTCCGTTGCAGCGCCACTGCGGACGAAGGCGTCGCCAGAAATCCGTCGATTTTCGGCGAGGGCAAGGCCCGCGAGGACGTGCTCAAGGAGACGAATCTCTCCGAGCCGAGCGTCGATAAGTCGCCTGCGGCCAAATACAAGATCTCGAACAGAGGTTCGGAACGCAATGTAAATAGCAAGGCACACGAGCCGACGGCGCTTCCGCGACCCGCCAACTCCACGACTGGCAGCCAGTCGTCTGGCGCCACGGCCGGCGCTGTGACCGGGACTGCCGCCACCGGGACGAATCGTCCGGTGGCAGGCCGTGGGTTCGAATCGCGCGGAGGTCGCGAGGGCAAAACCACGGACCGTGGGCCAGGCCGGCGGGAAACCGGACGCGTAGTCGGGTCGCGGCCGTCAGGGGCGGAACCACCGGCGGAGCCCTTCGTTCCCAGCCCGCCCGGCGAGCCCGGCTTCGTCACCTATGCACCACCTGTCGATCGATTCCAATTCCCCAACCCCGTCTGCCTCCTCCCGCCAACCGGCGCTGTTCCCGACGGCGGCCGCTTCCGAGACGCCATGGGTCGCCCTAACGAAGCTTTCGTCCCACCCTACATGGACTCTGATCCCAGCTTCGTCCGCTACTATCCAAGTAACTTACACACACACTTTGACACGGATTGCACACTTACAGACGTGTACGTATTCCACCCGACTTTTATGGTTGCTTTGCAGTGCGACACCCGACGGGCCCATTGATGTACGCGCCGACGGCAGATCCGTACATGTACGCCGCGCCACCGCCGACTGGCGAGCCGCCAGTCCTGGGTTCGATTCCGAGAAATGTCGTAACGATGCCCACGAAGCCAACGGTATTGAGCCGGTGTCCGCCACCGCCGCCACCGCCCGGAGCGAGTCCGACGGCACCGAGTCCGACGCCGGCCGCGCCGCCGCAGGATAAAAAGCTTACCTGGGCGGCCATCGCCTCGAGCAAGGCTCCGTAGCATTTTTCCCCGCAGCCCCGGCAGATCGAGTGGAGGGTTGGGAGGTTTGGGCGGGAGAGTGGATTCGGGCCGGGGACTGGACGGTGTAGAGAGACAGAACATTTCGCACACAGCAAGTTCTTCTGCTTAGTCCAGCGCATCTTTGTCAGTACATCTTTGTCCCGGTAAATATTTAAGAAAATGGGTGCGCGTGTCGGTGAAGCAGCTCCAGCCTTCAAGACGACGGCAGTATTGGCAGATAACACGTTTGCGGAGGTGAGTCTGTCCCAGTTCAAGGGTAAGTACTTGTTGTTATTCTTCTACCCGCTGGACTTTACATTTGTATGTCCCTCTGAGATTTTGGCGTTCAACAGCGCAGTGGCCGAGTTCAAGAACCGCGGTGTGGAGTTGGTGGGTTGCTCGATCGACTCTCACTTCACTCACAAGGCCTGGAAGGACACGCCGGTTGAGAAGGGCGGCATCGGACAGGTGCAGTTCCCAATCCTCTCGGACGTGACGCACGAGATCGTCAAAGCCTACGGCGTTGAGGCTGCCGGTGGCATGGCCTACCGTGGGCTGTTCCTCATTGATGCTGAGGGAATTGTGCGCCACATGCTCGTCAATGACTTGCCCCTTGGCCGCTCCGTTGAAGAGGCACTCCGCGTTGTAGACGCACTCCAATTCACCGAAAAGTACGGAGAGGTATGCCCCGCCAACTGGAAGAAAGGCATGAAGGCCATGAAGCCAACTGCCGACGGCGTCGCCGAGTACCTCAAGGAACAGTATGCGGGACGCAATTAATTTTTATGACCATAACCCGTGAGACGAATAGGCAGCACGCCTGCGGTAAACACGTCAATGTTAAGAGGGTGAAAAACAACCTCATCTCCACTCAACAAAGGTACGCCGTGCGGACAGAGAAGCACGGGTCAGGTGCGGAGAAGCTCAGGAGGGTACGCGGTGTTTCGGGGTACGTGGAGTTTCGGGGCACACGCACTTGCCGTCCTTCAGAGATCCAAACTATAAAACGGGTCCGGGCCAGGTCGCCGGTTCGAGTCCAGGTTCCGCTCCGGACAGTCGCAAGGGCAGGTCCCGCCGCGGGGGGCGCAGGGTGGCCGGCGTGGGCACGGCCGAGGCAAGCCCGGAGCCGAAGGTCGTGGGCGCGAATCCCTCGGCCGCGGGGGCGGGAACAAACAATAGTCCGGGGATGAACCAGGAGGAGTCGAAGCAGCGGCGCGAAGAGTTGCGACGTCGACTGGTGCGACAGCGGCGGCGCGCAGACCACGAGAGCAGCGCGTCCGAGGCGGAGAGTTCGTCAGACGACGAACTGCAGGGTCCGCCTATTTTAACGCGTAGCGCCAAACAGATTAGGGCGGCAGAAAAACACTGATGTCAATTCGCAGTTCCATCCCAGTCTGTAAGTGACACGCCCGCGCTGTGCTGGGGGGTGTCTTTCGTGACGCGCATTTCTTGTGTGCATTTCGTGAGAGGTGGGTGTCGGTGCTTGACTGCACACGCGTGTGCAGATGCCTTTTGTCTTTAGCGTCGCACCCGCCATTGGGTAAGGCTGTTCCACTGGCTTCGTTCCACAGCAGCAGCACGGGCCAAGGTTCTCCGTACCGGTTGGCCGCGGGTTCGATTCCGTCGAGGAACACGGGCCCATCCTCGACGGCGCCGTCAGGCGTGACTTCGGACTTGTCGGGGCTGGGCGTGGCGTACGAGGGTTTTGAAGGCAGACGGAGCGCCACGCAGTCCTCCAGTCGCATCACGGACCGGCTGACCGATCGGTTGAGCAACCACACGTTCCGCAACACGCCCGGATGCCGCGGCAGTCTTGGCCCGAGTGGCAGTCACAGTGCTGCGCCCAGCCGCAGTGATGCGGGCCACAGTGAGACATTACGAAGTTACTCTCCTCCGGGAACGGAAGGTGGTTATTACCCTGGAGACTCGCGTCCCCTGAGTCGCAGTGACATGGGAGGAAGTATGGGCGGAGCTACTCTGCCGCCGGTCCTAGGACCAGTGCTTGGACCAGTGCTAAGACCGGTACTAGGACCAGTACTAGGACCAGCAATGGGGGCTACAGGATCGGGGGCTACAGGATCGGGGGCCGTAATGGGGTCCGGTGGGAATGCAGGGCTGGTTTTTGAGGACCCGTCGCCCGTACCTCGCCCGGCGCCGTCACTTAGCGCGTCGAGCAAACCGCCATCTGAATTTAGCGGCCGCGGCGTTAGCGAGCGTTATCGGTCGCCATCAGTTGGGCCGAGTGTCCTACATGTACGCTACCAGGTCGGCTCGGGTGGCACACTCTCCGGTCCGTCCGAACTGCGCGATCGCAACAATCATCGAGACCCCAATCGCCAAGCCCCACACGGAATACAACCCGTAGGTGCTGCGGCGGATATCGGACTCGGTGCTGTCGACAATGTGCGAGCAACCACACGTGTTTTCGATCCGCCTCCGGAAGAACGCAAGACCAAGGTTAAATATTCATGGCAAGAATGTGTTAAACTCGACTACTGGAAACAAGTCGTTTGCTGCAATGGTCCAGCTGCCAACTCGTCCGACTGACGAGGGCTGCCTGGGGTGGGCGACCTTCTTGTCAAGACCCAGCGACGCAACAGATGTAAAGGGAGGTACTGCTACGAGAGGTACTGCTGCGAGATGCACTGCTACGAGCTGCACTACCGTGGATTAATTATCTAATGGTGGTGGAAGTCCAATGCCAACAACCGACTAAGCAGCTCGTTCAAAAAGACGTACTCCAGTGAGGCATGCTCCGACAAGGCTTGCTCAGAGACTCATAATGAAGGGCAGACATCGCTCCAATATGCACGGGCAATAATGGCTGCAGGAAGGCGGTCTCTAGGAGACTTCTTAATATCTGGAGACCTCTCCTTATCTGGACTTTTTCATACCTGAAAATAGCTCCCGGCAACATGAGGCATGTGAAATGAGTCACGCTCGTGGCTCCGGTATACAACCAACCGGTCGTGGGTACAACCAACCGGTCGTGGGTTCAAAGTCAGTGGATGACAGACGGTTGGGCATATGAAAAAGTTAAAGCCTGCGTCCGCGACGGCCGGCCTTTCTGCGAGTGGAGTCAGATGGGATGGGGGTGACATCTTCTATGCGGCCGATCTTGAGGCCGTTACGAGCGAGTGCTCGAAGGGCAGCCTGAGCGCCAGGACCGGGAGCGCGTTGACGGACACCACCAGTAGCACGGAGTTTGATGTGCACGGCAGTGATGCCGAGCTCCTTGCAACGTACCGCCACATCCTGGGCCGCAAGCATGGCTGCGTACGGAGAAGATTCGTCACGATCCGCCTTCACCTTCATACCACCAGTAACACGGCAGTAAGTCTCCTTGCCCGACAAGTCAGTCACGTGGATGAACGTGTCGTTGAAACCGGCGTACACATGTGCCACGCCAATCACGTTCAGCCCGTCCGCAGGCACCGGCTGTACATAACCACTCTGCTGGGGTTGACGCACTATCTTCTTAGGAGCCATCTGCAACAACGATATACACCAGAGCATCCACGTCCAGACATCCGGAAGGGCAACCCACCCACGTGGGGAAAGACACCCGCGTGGGGAAAGACACCCGCGTGCGGAAGGGGCTTGCCCTGCCCTGAGGGTGCCGGAAGTATCTGGCCCTGTACGGGAACCATGTGGCTTGCACGGGGAGGGTTGGGGCGTCAGTTGTGTTGCATACCTTGTGACTTGAGGATAGGTCGGGCGAAGAAAGCGCCGGGTTTTTTTGAGGTAGACAAAACGTGGGATGTTTGTTGAGTGCTCTTTAGTCTTCCTGACTGCACGCTGACTTCGTGGAGCTTAGCTCGACACCCCGTGGGACGGACGTTGCGCCCTGCGCGGTTTCATATCAACCACTTCCGTACCGACGAAAAATATCGAAATAAATCTGCATGGGTCAGGCTCAGAGCTTTACTGACCAATTTGTCTACCACACCGAGGCGGGCAAGGCCACGGAAGGCTGCACGCCTGTGTTCCGAGCCGCGAGCCACCCCACTGAACTCGTGGAGACTTTTCTAGACAGAGAGGTGCACTCTTCGTAAGGGAATAAACACTCCTTGGCACCGTAGGCGTGTCGAGCACCCCATCAAGGTTGTCGGTGACCCCGCGCAGGTGTCCGCGCAGGTGTCCTGCCAATTTGGAGGTCGTTAAGAGCAGGCAACGTGTACCGTGGGGTCGCCCGCTGGGTCGCAGGGTTGGTTAGAGAAGACTTGTGTTTCGTGATTGTAGGTGGGATTTGTTTGACAACACGGTGAAGAGATCGCCTAACCGGAAGTTTCTGGGCCGTCGTTTCCGTGATGAGAGGGGTCAATTGGGGCAGTACGAGTGGATGACGTATTCGGAGGCATGTCAAATCGCATTGGCATTCGGCACGGTGATGCGGGGTACTGCAGAGACTCCGGGTTTGGTACCATTGACGGAAGCTGAGGGGTTGAAGATGCGTATTTTGGGCATGTATGCGAAGAACTGTGTCGAGTGGTTTTTAGCGGAGCAGGGGGCGAATGCGTACGGCCTCACACTGTGTCCGCTATACGACACCTTGGGGGACGAGGCGATGGAGTTCATTTTGAAGCAGACGGAGATGTCAGTGTGTTTGGTGGCGTTTGAGAACCTGGAGTCGCTGGTTCGAGTTCTGGAAGGTGACAAACCGGGACAGGTGAAGCCGGGTATGAAGTTGCAACGCATCGTTTTGATCAACCCCTGTACACCTAGTAACCCTGCATACGTTATCAACTTGTACCGACAGCCGATAGAAAAGGCTAAGGAGTTAGGGTTGCGTGTAGATCTGTGGCACGAGATAGTGTCGCGGTGCTCGAGGCCTGGTCCCGTGTCACCAGGCGGACCGGAAGAGGTCAACACACTCTGCTACACCTCGGGGACCACAGGCATGCCGAAGGCCGTGATTTTGCCGCACAAAATGGTCGTGGCGGTAGTCGTGGGTGCCGCGCGAGGGCCGATATCGCCTGCGGGTTTCTTTGAGGTGAATGCTTCCGATAGTATTTGCTCCTATTTACCGCTCGCACACGTGTTTGAGCGGTGTGTTTGTAACATTGTTATTTCCAAGGGTGGTGGTCTGGCCGTGTACAGTGGTGATATGGCCAAGTTATTGGATGACGTCAAGGTACTACGGCCCACTGTGTTTGTGTCCGTTCCAAGACTGTTTAATCGCGTGAATGATAAGGTGGCCTTGTCGTTGCTGGAAAAGAATGTGCCGGTTCAAATGATGTTCAGCGTGGGACTCAATTCAAAAGTAAACCGGCGCCGGAGTGAGTCTAGTACACAGCACAAGATCTGGGACTCTGTTGTCTTCGGAAAAATCCGCGATATGATGGGCGGTAGATTACGTGGAATGATAAGCGGAGGTGCACCGTTGGATCCCATAGTTAACGAACGTATGACAGCTTTCTTTGCCTGTCCTTTGATGCAGGGTTACGGGCTGAGTGAGACCTTTGGTCCGTGTTTTATGATGCATCCCGATGACCCTAGTGTCGGCTATATCGGTGGCGTCTGGCCGAGCGTGGAATTCAAACTTTCGTCTGTACCAGAGCTCAACTACTACGTCACCGAGGACCCGCCAGCGGGGGAGTTACTATTAAGAGGTCCTGGTGTAACTTCAGGGTATTTCAAGAACCCCGAAGAGACACAACTCTCATTTGATAATGATGGATGGTTTCATACGGGAGACATTGCTACTATGCATCCACGAACTCTGGCAGTCAAAATCATTGACAGGAAGAAGAACATCTTCAAGCTCTGTCAAGGCGAGTATATTGCCCCTGAAAAGATCGAAAGTGTTTATAATCAAGCTCTCTCCGTCGCACAAATTTTCGTCTACGGTGATTCGATGCAACAATTCCTCGTCGCAATCGTCTACCCTGATATCGAAGGCTGTAAAGCCTTCCCCAAATACACCGGCAAAAAAAACATCTCTGAAGATCTATACAGCCTATGCAAAGACCCTCAATTCAAAGAATTCATATTACAAGATCTAGAACAAATAGCCAAGAAACAGAATCTCAAAGGCTTCGAAAAAGTCAAGGACTTCGTACTCACTCCTGAACCCTTCACTATCGAGAATAACCTCCTCACACCTACCTCCAAAATCAAGAGAGTGGAATGCAAAAAAGTACATCAACACCTCACTCACTACTCACTCACTACTCACTCACTACTCACTCACTACTCACTCACTACATCAACTGTGCGACACATAGGATTACACCGCACTGTGTCATATTTCGTGTGTGTCATATTTCGTGATTCTTTCCAGATGTTCCAGAAGGACATTAATCGGATGTACGGTTTGTTTGACTAGATCATAATGGTGGATGTTTAGTGGAGCATGTTTAGAATTGCGACGAACTGCTAGCAGCGCCTGGTATTCATTGCCTCGTTGTCTGGCTGTGTGGACGATGGGCAGGTGGCCAGGGCGTTAAATGATTTTATGTAAAAACCCGTTAAGTAACATGAGCACTTGGTACAGGCCGAGGTAGGCATGTTTTATGAGGCGGAAAGGAACCTTGTTAAGCACCACCAGACAGTCACGTAAAGATTGGGGACGACCAAGTCCAAAGAACGCGTTCCATGACTCATCCAATAACGCCTCTGTGTAAGCCGCGGCAAACTCAGGACTACTGAGGTCCCCATCTTCCCAACGCATCGGTGTCTCGGTAATCAGCTCAAGATGTGATTGGGCCAACTCATCCTTAGTCATCAGCAACGGGAATTCCGAAGGATTCCACGCATCTAGCACGGCATCCTCCTCCATCAGGGACATAGCATCAGGGACCATGCTGGCATCCATACCTGCACTTTCATGCACGCCCATACCGTTCTTCTTACCGTCCGTTGTGGCAATTCGAATTTTACCGTCTCGAGCGAGTCTTGCCAAGTTGAGCTGGGCGACGGTCCTACCTCGATGTGCGCTGAAGCTAAGCAGTGTCTGTTTGAGAAGGTCATCATCAGAAAGTTGTGTGGCAAGCGACCACTCTGCTTCTTCGACACCGGCTCTGGCGAGTTCTCCTAAAATGTCTTGGTCAATATATTTTTTGAAGCCGGGTGTGTTGAAGGCATGTTTGTTTGCATGGTACCACAGGTAGTGGCGCACAGTCTGGGTCATTAGACTCCAACTCTCGGTGCATCCTATATCTCCAGTGATTTGTGCGACGACATGTGTGGTGGCTGGGTTCAATTTCTGCAGTTGCGGCGTCACGGCGAAAATTGAATTGGATAATATCGGTGCAGCCATGGTCAGGTCCAAGGCCAACGCATTGAAGCTGCCGTCGGGTGTCTTCACAAACTGCTGCCGTGCCTCCAATATCAAACCCGCTCTCAGGTCATCAGGGATCCCCGGGTCCGATGCAATGATCATCAAACTCAACCCCAAAGCGTCGTGCGCCTCACTCAATGGTAACTGCCCTATGGCCACACGTGCCGTAAACGCCGCCAGATCAGTGATCTCCTCCCGCGTCAAACCTCGGCCCCGTCTATCCGATGAGTCTTCCCATTGGTAGTCCACAGGCTCGTACTCGTCGGGATCGTTCAGAGCACCCATACGATTATACAACAGTTTGGTTAGACTATTAGCGAGAAAGCTTGTAGTCTCACCATGGCGGGACTTGTTTGTACGAAATTCCCCCACCATTTCTACCGCCCGACTCCAAGACTGCTCAAAACGGTCAGCACCGGTAAAGATTCGTTGGGCCGAAGGCAATACCAACCTCTCGTTATCTTTATTCTGTACACTGAGGGAGAACGCCGACAATACATGCGGACGCATGCCCACTGAGAGGTCGCGGTGTGCATTCGCCACATATGAACCTAAGTTGTTGTTCGAGATCTCGTTCGCCGTCGGCTGTGGAAAGTACACCGACGACGGATCCACAAACGTCTCGTGCGCAATCAAAGAACTAGCCGTCGAAATGTATGTCAAACCCGCCGCACACGTGTGTGCAAACCGCGATAAACGTCGAGCCATCACCATCAGGGCTTCTACAACAAGTATGTACCGCCATCACGGTCACCTACCGCCATCACCGTCACCTACCGTCGTGACGGTCACCTACCGTCGTGGCTTACTGGGGTCATTGGAGAATGCATTGGCATATTCAAGGGTCGCTTGCTGCATATTATTCATTGTAAAAAAAGTTGCTTCATATCGTACACCCGTATAGTGTCATAGGTGTACGTTTCTCAACCGTCCGTCTCTTGGCCCAGACCTCCAGTCTTGGTCTCTGTAGAGTACAGAGTATCCCCATTCAAGCATAAACTAAAGTACGAAGTGCGGTCTCCTGAATTGCGTGAAATGGGTTCAACCGTCCTCTGCTTGAGAGAGAACAAAGAGAAACATGCTCCGGCAGTACCGGGCATGCTCCGGCTCAAACCGATCACCATATACTCATTCCCGTAGGCAGCGTTGAGATTGCGGTTCCCAAAACTCGTCATCCTTGTACACTGATCTAATCGCCGCATATCGTAAATACATCTCGACACCGTATCCACACATGATACATCACCGTGTCAGGCGAGGTCTACGATGATGGCCCATACGTTCGTGGCACTTACCCTGATTTCATTCCCCGTAACGTTGATGATGAATTTCCCCAAACGCGCGGACAAGGTTCCGTTTCACGTAGTCATTGCCTAGGATCCCAGTCGCCCGTAAATCGATGATCTTGCAGCCTGACGCCGCCAGACGGATGCCTGTGCTATAGTCATAAATCCGTGTGTCGAATATGCTATCTATTCCGTCTAGCTGCGTGCGTGATCCATTTTCCTGATCTAACAGCGGGGTGTCAACTACGGAACGTGGCGGTGTTTCGTTGGATGGTTGCGCCGGCGCGAGGGTCGAACAAGGCTACGGCACCATCAGGCAGTGCGAGCAGCAGCCGGCGTTCATTCCAGTCGGCGCCGTGCACCTCCCAGGCACGCCGTGTGCCTGGCCACACACCCCGTGGCACACTGTGTGACGGCACACCACATGTCGACGAAACACCCCTCGACCACCGAGCTGGATAAACCCGACTGACTCACCCGCATAGTAGACCATGTTCACACCGACTGGCGTCACACCCAAACGAGACAGCGGCAACGGGATTTCTGCACAACGACGTTTCCCCCGCCCCTCGAACACTTCCACGCTAGTGCCATCCACCACGCACCCCACCTGCACCGCCAACAAGCTACCCCTGCAGCACAAACGGAATCCCGGCCGACGAAGCAACCTCATCAAAAATTTTCAGACCATGAACACTCTCTTCGAAACCAACCTGCGTGCACAAACCTGAATCCCTGTGCGGCATACCCCTGTGCGGCATACAACACACCCAGCCGGTGTAGATACAGTGAGGCAAACCCACAGCCAGGCAAACCCACAGCCACGACCACAACCCCCCCTCCCGGCGGTGTGTCTTACATGACGCGGTTTTGTGACTGAAGTGCCTTAAGGCAGTCTTTGTAGACGTTCTTCTTGATGGCGGGGTGTTCTTTAGCGACGTGTTTGAAGGCGTGTTCGAGATCCCAGTCTTCTTCACCAGTAGTTTCACGGAGCGTTTCAAGAACGCGCCAAATCTGGTCGAGTTCGCGATCAAGGTCCACGGGACTGTTTTCAGGAGCGTGATTCTCATGGGTGTCAAGCTCTCGACGTCGTCGTCGACTACGAGTATTTTCTTCCCGATTTTCTTCTATTTGGAGTTCTTGTATTGTTTCGCTGAGTTGATCGAGATCCCGTTTCCGGGTTACGGTGCGTCTTGTCGTCCTGGGTTCCTCGGCAGTGTGAGTGGGTGTGGCAGTCGCTTCCACTGTTTCGGGTTCGTAACCGCATAGACTGTAGAGGACGAGGTGTTTGGCTTCGGCGACGTCATCAGTATCCACGACGGCTTTGAGTTTAAGTTTGGCATGAGCCGTACTGAGTCGGATAAGTGCCTCGAGGAGTCTCGGCGTTGGCAGTGCCTTAGCGTGGTTGGCTCTGGTAGCATTAGCATCATTCCATTCCTTCTTAACTCTTTCACGGATGTAACCGTAGAATTCTGCGATATCTTCTTCAGCCTCTTCACTCATTTCCGGTTGCACAGAGTAACGGCAGTAAGCCAGGTACTGCTTAAGGAAGGAAGGTTTGATCAACTTGGCAGCGCTCGCCGCTCTGACAGCTTCAGCGGATAGTTTCCCTTTGCCTCGACCGACACCATCTTCCAGCGCTGGTGCGTGTTGCCACACAATTTGCTTCTTGCCTCGCTGCTCTGCGGTCTTGGGTTGGAGAAGTGTGGGTGCCACGACATCTGCCCGGAGTGCTCGCAATCTGTGAGCGGCGTCATAGACAGATTCGTCTTTGTGGCCGGCTCGGAGTTGCGCCAAAACTTGTTTAGCGATTTGCCGGTCTTGTTTTGCTGAAGACGATTCTCTGATGAGGAAAATTAAATCGAAGCGACTTAGCAGACTGTCGGGGAAGTTGACCTGGTCAGCGAAGTCTAGCGTGTCGTCGAAATGTCCGTAAAGTGGATTGGCAGCTGCAAGCACACTCGTGCGAGCGTTCAGTACAGCGGAAATATTTGCTTTCATTACGCTCACTCGTTGTTGCTCCATCACTTCGTGTACCGCCACACGATCGTCCGGACCCATCTTGTCGAACTCGTCGATGCATACCATACCGCTATCCGCCAACACCATAGCGCCTGCTTCCAAGCGTTTATGTCCGGTCATCGGGTCCTTGACGACTGCGGCCGTGAGTCCGACAGCGCTGGAGCCACGGCCGGTGGTGCTGATTGCCAACGGCGCCAACTTCATGACGTAGCGCAGCATTTGGGACTTGCCGCAAGACGGATCTCCAATCAACAAGACGTGGATGTCACCACGTTGGCGCATACTTTCTAACTGTTTACCCACACCGCCGACCAGTTGCAGAGCCAGGCCCTTGCGCACACGTTCATGTCCACTTATCGACGGCGCAATGGAGGCCGCGACAAGATCGAGTGTGTTCTCACGTCGCGCGAGTTCACGGAACTGCTTCAACGTGCTTGGAGTCAACTCGCGGTTGACATAGTCTACATGCAGCGGCTCCACACTCACTGCTATCAATGTAATGCTGGTTGCGCCATTAATCAATGAACCGTTTTTATATGTGTTCGATTTGAGAACACCATATACACGCGCGCGATCACCTGGCTTCAATGCCTCCACCAAGTCATTCTCCATGACAATTTCTACTGCACGAGGCAACTGACCAATTGGCGTCACCTCTGGCATTTCCTGCAATGTCACAAATTGGCAGTCTTTAAACTGACTTAGGCCAAATTCCAACTCCGTTTCTCGACCATCCGGGTCCGTACGCATCGCATATGGCGCAATTCGTCCAGCCTTACTCATCGCCTCATATCGTGGTACAATCGCAAACGAATCAGCATACTCACGGAACACATGTCGACCCAAATCCGATACGTAATATGAACCTGTCTTCAATCTCAAATTAGGGATCGTAACACGCGTTACAATACCTTCCACAAGAATCAACTTGTTCGCTAACTGGCAGCTAATACCTCGAGGAGTAATACTATGACTACCGAGCCAACCACTCAAGCCAATCTTCAAATCTATGGTGCTAGTAGTGTTCTGCAAATCACCATGCTGTCGCGCAATGTCATTTATCGCTTGCTCTAATGGTGGCAAATAAACAAAAGGGTCATTGATCAATCGCGCCGTAAAATCCGGCGCGATTTGGTTCAGAAAGTTTACACTCAGAATGATCCGCCGCTCCTTCTTCTGTACTGCCGTCGTAATCTTCAGATACTCATCGTCATGCTGCATTATCTGAGACTGGATCACAGACTTGATCTGATTAAATGTCTCAAGATCATCCACCATCATATCTGCTGCACCCACCACTGCAGCAGCCACCCCCATACCATCCATTGTCCCATTATTGATCGGCAACATAGTCCTCAAGTCCAACAACCGGTCTTCAAACTAAGGCGGATGCTAACCAGCAATTAACTCGACAATAAACACTTCCTCAACACACGTGTTTATATACGGTCGAAAAGACAATGCACCAATAATATCAAAAAGACAAAAATCGACAACATAATTATCCCCACCCCCATACCTTCATCCCCACCCCCATACCTTCATCCCCATACCTTCATCCCCATGCCTTTAGCTGGCCCTTATAGCCACGCCTTGCATGTCATTGCCCGCCTTAAAAATTGTGAATGAATGTCGTAGCTAATATTCTGTTCTATCCGGCGCAGTTATGGCTATGGTGCCAGATAACGCTGGTGACTTTTCTTTATGAGCGCCTGAATCAAATCGGAGATAGGAGATCTGCGCGTTTTCTGGAAGAACCATTATTGGAGACGGATGAATGTTGCAGAGACTGCACAGGACGGTACAAACCATCCTGCACAGGACGGCACAAACCATCCTGCTTGAAGAACAGCTCGTCGCCTACGCGGTCATCTCTACGACGCTCCGACTGGAACGCATCCCGCACCTGTTGCAATTCTGGACAAGGTCCACACACACGTGTGTGCTACCACTCAGATGCTAACCATCCGTGTAGTCATGGCATGGACGGACGCCTGCCGTCGAGTCCGGGGTTACGTGTGACAGTATGTGACCGGGTGCAAATTTGTGACACGAGCACCACCACGATGCTGCTGGCGCATGACGAGGAGGAAGAAGACACTAGCTGCACCAACGGTGGCTGCACCAACGGTGGCTGGATCAAAGGCAAGTGGCCCCGACGAAAGTGGAGTCAGGTTTGGAGTTACCTCAACAGCTGCACAGCCACGTCGGCTTCTCGTCGCCCTTTGAACGCGCGCGCGCGATGTGAATTGTTCCTCCCGTCGTACGCGCTTTGTTTCGACCCACGCGCGCGACGTGCTCTCTGTGCGGCCCGTGCCTTTTGCAATCTCAGCCTCCTCCTCTACCTCCTGCTCCGACTCCAAGGTGCCACCAAGGCACGGCCTGGAACCTTGGTGGTTCTTACATTTGCCTCGCTCGTCCTCACCGCCACACACGTGTGCACTGTGCAAAAGAGACGGGCACTCCCTCAATTGGACACCCCCCAGGAGGTCGAAACCCTAGAGGTTCAAACCCCGCCTGTTACCCTCACCGCATTCGCTGACCCTGCTCCACAAACGAGATCTTAGCATTCGGAATCACCGACCTACAAACAAACATTTAATGTCTGGCACACACCATCCGAAACATACCCGCGAAGCCCTGACATTTCCCGCACGCCGACCCATCCCGCCCCGGTCCTCTGACCCGTGCAAACCAGCTGTGAACGGTTCCGTCCCGTCACGCCGGCCCTCCGTGGTTGTCAATTGTGTGTGTCAGGTGCCCGTGCTATGCGCGCCAATTCCCATGACCAGTGCCCTCCCCCCCCCCCCCCCCCCCAAACATTGAAAGAGTCTCCGCTTGGTGCTTGCACCCAGGGCAGGGCAGGGCAGGGCAGGGCAGGGCAGGAGAGGACAGGCTTGGCTTACCGCAGAATGTCCATTCCTATCCGTCCATTAACGTGTTCGATGCAGCCTCCTCCGCGCGTAATTCCAGGAACCATGGACGAAGAAGGCGGCGGCGGTGGAGGCGGTGGGTTCGACCTACACAACAGACACTTTGTGCGAGGAAAGAGTGTGAAAGAGTGTGAAGGGAATGTGGGTTACGGAGGAGGGTTGCAGTGCCAGGCATTGTTGGCAACGGGCGCTTGGGAGGCCCCGGGTCGTCCGGGCGGCGGGAGGTTGCGTTGCGGCGCGAGAAGTCGGGCAACGATTTGGTCGGGACTTGGTCGGTTCCATTCGAAGTCTGTGGAGGAGACGAAGGAGGGCTGTTGCGTCTTTCCGAGGTGGAGGTTGAGGAGGCCGTCGAGCCATTGCGTGCCCGGTTCCTCGTAAGTGTCCCAGCCGAAGAGATCTCCCGAGCCATTGAGGACACCGTTCATGTCGCCCTCGTCAACCATCTTGGAAGCCCCCATGCCCGGCGGGGCCGTGGGCGCTCCCAGTCCAGGAGCCCCCAGTCCAGGCACCCCCAGTCCGGGAGCTCCCAGTCCGGGAGCTCCCAGTCCAGGAGAGGCCGATCCAGGAGATCCCAATCCAGTCGCGGTGCCGAGTGGTGGGGCGGTAACGAGTCCGGAAGACGTGCCCAGTCCGGCGGTCCCAATACTTGGTCCAGCGATCCCAGGAGGCGGCGACAGACCTGGTGGAGGACCTGAGAAGCCAGGAGGCGCCCCCGGCAACACGCCGTCACCTCCCGTCTGGACAGCATCCAACTTGGTACGAGACAGATGCTGCAGAATCGGTTCCCCAAAACAAGCCGCTGGCGGTGGCGGAATGAAAACAAACTCGCCCCGTGGGAACGGATCCGTCTTCAAATCACCATCCTTCCGGGCCGACTTCCGGTACAGACTCTTCACTTCGCCCATCGAGTCTTTAAACAATGACTCTCTATACGCCGTGGGCTCCTCATACGCCTTGCCCGGCGGGTCCCGGCCCTGTAGGTCTTGCAGGATCCGGCCTTGCAGGTCCCTGTACATGGAGTGGTCTTTGTGCAAATTGTCTTTGTACGAAGTATTATAGGCTACCCCCTGTCTAGGATCCTTTTTCATTAGGTCCCCATAGGCGTACTTGTCTTGTTGAGGATGGCCATAAAGCCTATAAGGTTCCCGCATCTTCTCGTAGTACAGACTGTGTTGTGCGTCCAAGTCGAACTTTTGACGTCTGTCGCGGAACGCTGAGCTCTCGGTCGCCGTACCTCGAAGGTCTTGTTCGTCTCTCGAAAATGTTTCTCTCGGAAATGCTTGTCTCGCGTTCCCTTCTATGGCGTTTCCTTCTCTTGTGTTCCCCTCTCTGGAGAAAGCGGGAGCGGAAAAGGCCTCCTTGGCCACCTCCTTCGACACTTCCTTAACGACCTCCTTGGAAACCTCCTTCGCCACTTCTTTGGCAGCATCCCTTACCACTTCCTGCGTCGCATCCCGTAACCTGCCGGCGCCGGCGCCGTCTTTACCGCCCGGTTCCAGAACCCCAGTAGCACCCCGGGTCTCGGAACCCCGGATGTCGGTTGGGGCCTGGTCGCCGCCTGTGGAGCGGGATAGACTTCGTGGTTGCCGTTCGGTGCTGTCCGGCTTGCGATGGATGTCTTGGAACGGATTAACAAACTTCGATTCCGCTGCGCGGGCGGTCTTGTTCTTCTTGACGGGTGGTTTGGCGGGTGGTTCGGCGGTGACGGTGGCAGTGGCGGTAGCAGGTATGGGTGCGACGGCGTCGAGTGCGGGGAAGAGTGGGTCGTCTCGACGCAATGTGTCCGTCACCGCCGCCGGAGCACGAGTGTCCCAACCTCGTCGTACCGTAAAGCCCTGATCGCCGCCACCGCCTTCATGGCTATCTCCCTCTCTGGTCTCCTCACCTGCAGCTCCGCGGTCAGATTTGTCGTTTGCCATCCTGTCGGTGTTCCCGACTCCACCAGCATTGCTCCCGGCATTACGGAGAGCTCCGATTTCGGTCAGGACTTCTTTGTAGGTCTTGCCGAAGAAGGAACCAACGTTGGGGTTAAGGATGAGTCTTCTGATATGGGGCATATCCGTGCGGTCGATAGTGGGTTCATCGGACCGCGGTTTCCAGAAGGTTTTAGAATGACGTTGGACGTGGATAAAGGGGCAGCAACCCTCGTTAGGACAGGTGGTGCCTTTCAGCGTGAAGAGGCAATGTCTCGCGGCACCGATGTGTAGCCGGATATCCTTCTTGCTCCGTCCTTGTTCACCACGGTCCAAGTCCCGACCTCCTTGATCGGTGGAAGCGGCCTTGTTGATATCACATAGCGCCAGTTGTGCCGCCTCATCGTCTGCGTATAGCACAAAGGCTGTGTCTATATTTTTGTAAGTGCTTATACAAATGGAAATTAAGCGTCCGTACTTAGCCATGTAGCGAAATTCTGCGAGCAAAGAAGGATTGAGTAAATGCGGCGGACAAAAGTACAGTCTACACACCACTGGTACACCCGCGGCGTGATGCGACAGATGTCCCATCGGTACCAGATCATTGGCAGATGAACCTCCTCCAATAGTTGTACCGCCTCCTCCAATAGCCGTACCGCCTCCTCCAGTTCGATTTTTGTTCTCCAGTTTTTTAGGCCTCGGTATTTTGCGGAAGGCACTCTCATCATAGTCCCGACGACAGAGCGGACACTTGTTGTTTTCATCCTGAATTCGTTTCAAGCACCATAGACAGACCTGATAATCACAAGGACATGGAAACATCGATAGGTCACCATCATCCATATCTTCGGCACATATGGGACATGTCTGGTCCTCACTTAACGATCCCTCCATCCAGCAATTTTTTTAAGTCAACACCACTGGAGATAAAAAGCGCACCAACTCGTTCACTGAATCTAACTCACTCCGGGGCGCGCGGAACGGAGCTGTCATCACATTCACCATGTTCTCAATTATACCCCCTATTGCCGGAAACACTAATGGTACAACACCACGATCACCACTGCCCACAGCATCAACCATCTCACCCGACGAGATATACCCTATCGGCAACTGCTGCTCTATCTCGGACAACCAATCCCCTATCGCCGCATTCACCTACACACAAAATCACAAATCGACAGACCATGGACATGTCCAAAGGAGAGCGGGGGGGGGGGGACATGGACGCGGGGGGAGGAGGGGGAGGAATATGGATGCGGGGAGAAAGCTGGCAGGAGTCATACCAACAGAAGTTGTTTGCCAAAGTTATGGTTCAGCTCCGCCAGTCTCGTCGACAGCGCCAGCGGAACGCCCAGCTGGTCGGTGATGGCGTTCGCGAACGAGTCCACGTCTAAAAATTGTCCGCGGTCATTTACGCTGTAATCGCTAGCCGCCGAGTCAGACGTGATTGGCTCCGGGTTACCTGCAAACCCGAACAGCATCTGGGCGATGGTTCGCCGCGGCGCGTTTTGTCGAGCCGACTGCCAGTTGTGGATCAAGCCCGCAATGTCTGGAAAGCGAATGATGTTGGGCTCATCAGCCTGAGCTAGACCAAATGCGAAAATCCAGGATATGTGCCGCATATTTGACCGGTATGCACACGATCGCGCGCGATCGCGCACGCAAAAGGAAATAGAGATAATACTAAAAAAGAGCCTTTCGGCTAATGTGTGCCTTGCGGCCACCTCCCAGGACGATCGGCTATCCTTCGGCGGCCATACGGTCAAGATAGCACGTAGCCTTGCTCAGCGGCGGGTTTAGAGCCATTCGAGTTCACCGTCCCAATAGAGGTCCTTGAAGGGGCATTTGTTTAGTAGGTATTTGTAGAGAGCTTTTGTATCTTGTGTTTTGGCTGGTGGGTATGCGATCCAATTAGTGCAATCACATCCTGTGATGTCAGAAACGATGTTTTGATGTTCTTCTTTCTTGTATATGTTGGCATGTTCCTCAATAGCATCTGGTGAGTAGCCATCTTCAGGTCGTAGAGGTACAAAGAATTTAGGTCCGCATAGTTTTACGGCTGCGGCGCTGGAGTAGCTGGTTTCCAATCCGTAGACATCGGTGGGTGCGAGTACAGCGGGTACATCATCGTCTCCGTCAGTATCACCGCCGCGGGTAAGAGAGGCGAGTCGATGGTTAAAATTATCTGCCATAAGACCAACCATGACGTCTTCATTGTTCCAGTAGGTGTTGTTATGCACATATTCATCTGCCAGTACAGTGACGGTATCTTTATTCAACATATATAGCTTCGCGCTATTGTAGTCTGGGAACACACTGCTTGCACCCCTATAAAAGGGCTCGTAATTGAAGTGCGTTTGTGATTCCACCGCCGTCATACCTGTCATCGCATGCCCCAGCCATTGGAAAGAACGGTGAGCAAAGTCTTCCAACTTCGGCTTCGCTGGTAACGGCATCGTAAACGGGTTCTCTGCCGCCAACTCGATCTGCTTGCTATCCAAACTCCGCAGGTAGTACACCAAGTTTGCAAAATTCACCACAACACTTGTATCTACACGCACAACCCACTGCCATTGCGGAACTCTATCCATCTGCTCACCACCTCGGTCACCTCTCTTGTCGCCGCTACCTTCTCGGTTGTGGCCGCTACCTTCTCGGTTGTGGCCGTTACCTTCTCGGTTGCGGGCGCAATCAGCAAAGTAACGCAATACGGTGCCCGCCTTCACAGCCTGCATCAGCGGGTCGTCTTCGTAGTCACCCGCAATCAAATCGCTGTGCGCGCGGAACTCCGCAGCCACCTCGCGCGAATTCCCAACGGGGAAGAAAGCTCGAAGCACACGCGTGCGCTCCAACCCATCCTTCGAACCATCACCGTAATGATCCTGCAACCACCCATACACGTCGTCCAGCGCATCCGCGTCGTGAGACAAACGTAATTCCGCCGCAAACGCTCGCACTAACTCTCGTAACGTATCCCGCTCCTCGCGACTCGTCGTTCTAAACAACACATTCACGTAACCCAACTCACTACACGCCGGACCCAACAGAATACGAGGCAACGGATCACGGTTACGGAACCTGGCCGGCACCCCCTCCTTGTCATCTTCCCTCACCGGCTTCTCATCCTCCTCCCCCTCGGCCCGGTCGGCCATCAGACCGAGCCGGGCGGCTCCCTTGTCCAGGTCCAAGATCCCTCCCTGGCGCTGGGGCGAGGCGACCTTCCGCGCCAGGCTATCTAGGTCCTGCAGGTTCAGTGCGTTCAGCTTCAATGCGTCATCGAAGCGGCTCTCGCCCAAGTCTTCGGCTTCGTTCACCTACGGCAAACAAATTAGTGCCAACCTGACACAGCGGGTCAAAGATGCAGACGGAACCGGTGGCTGGACGCTAGACCAGGCAGGGTAGTACTACCCCTGTAGTACTACAGGGTAGTACTACAGGGGTAGAAAAGGGGGGGGGGGGGTTACAGAGGGGGCGAATGGTGCAAAGGGGAGGGAGTTGGTACAGATAGCGCTTGGTTGAGGTCGCTGAGATCGATCCGTTTGAGGTTCTCAGCGGCGGTTGAGAGAACCGCGAGCAGGCACAGTAACCTCGGGCCGTTCATAATGGGTGGAAAATTAATGAAGTGGCTGCTAAAGGGAGCAGTGCTATTTTTGGTTTGTGAGGCTTGGAATTGGAAGGACTTGTTCGGCCGGAAAGAGGAGGGTGGAGCGGCGCTGCCGAACTATGCTTTGGGGCGCGAAATCGACTACGACGTGGTCATTAGTCCCGGGTGTGCGCGATTGCTGGACGAACTGACTGCCCAGACGGGTGTCGAGATGGGTGCGCCAGTATTGTCCAGGGAGCCAGTGTTGTCCAGGGAGCCAGTGTCATTGGAGATACTGAACCGGTTGGTGGTGTACGGGCACGGCGCGTGTGCGCGTGCTTTGGCGTATACGAACAGTCGTTCGCCGCGAAGTGTGTTGGAGCGGGACACGGTGTCGCGTTTGCCGTTTTCGAACATTCGTGAGGAGGGGCAGCATGCTTTGCCAGCGTTATTGGTTACTCCTGCCTGTGCGAAAATGAGTTATATCAACATTTTTTACGAGACCAAGTCGGATGACGTTGAGTCGCGCGGGAAACTGCGTCGTTACGTTAATTGGCACAATCGCCGGTTGAAGCGGCATCTGTTGGAGTGGCCGAAGCGCAGTTTCGATGATCCATACGCTCACCGTGGAAATAATTTACTGCTGCCTTCTTACTTTGAAGGCATCGACGCGTTCGTCCGTCCTTTCTTCCCCGTCGGAAGAAACAAACGCTGCGTCACCCGCAAACGTCTTCGCGCCGGGCCCCTTCCGCCGAAACTCTGTCACCATGACCTGCAGTTGAAGAAGGAGTTCGCCGAATTTGGAGACCTAATTATCGGAAATTACATTGACTCATACCGCGCACTCAGCCTCAAGACAAGCACCATTCTTAGATACGTCAATGCTTGTAATAATGAACATAGAAGAGTCCTTGAAAACACACTGGTTCATAACGACACCAACGCTAAGACAGGAAGCAATTTTTCTGTTAATGCCGAACAAGTACAGCTTGCCGAACAAGTACATCTTGCCGAACAAGTACATCTTGCCGAACAAGTACATCTTGCCGAACAAGTACATCTTGCCGAACAAGTACATCTTGCCGAACAAGTACATCTTGCCGAACAAGTACATCTTGCCGAACAAGTACATCTTGCCGAACAAGTACAGCTAGTCGGAAATGGGAAGGTCCCGCAGCCGTTTGGAGGTGAAGCCGGCGCAGACGAGTGCGACGGAGAGGCTGCGCCACGGCGCGAGTTAATAGGGGAGTTAAACGAGTTATTAGATCGCGCGCGATTTGCACTGATACCGATCGAAAGTAAACAAACCAAAGAGACGATGTCATACATTGATTTTCGGCACTGGCAATGGATGGTGAAGAGTGACGACAATATGGTGATAAATGTTCCAGCATTGTTTTATTACCTGTTGAGTCGTCATCGTAAGTCGATCGAAGATTTGCTTGCCACCACAAGGCAGAATTCTAGATTTAATCCGGATAAGTTATTTCTATGGTTAGGTGTACGTAATCGTAACATGAAAGTATTACGAGAAGTATCACATAAGAATCATGAAGAAAATTACGTAGGGGAAAGGTATCCGCCATATCTATCAGGAGGGTTCTATATGATGAATAATGCAGTGGTGGATAGGTTAGCTGGTGAATATAAAGCTAATCAGACGTTTTGGGCTAATGAGGATGCAATGATTGGGATAATGGCGGATAGGAGTAATCGTCGGTCAGTGGGTCTTGATCCATCAGGTGAGATCTTAACAAACAATCAGGAGTCTCCAATGGCTGAGTTAGTACATCTGGTAGGTGTTGACAATGGTGAAAAAGCCCGTATACCGTTACCTCATCCATTGGTCGACTTTGATTTTAGTTATGATAATGTTACCCAAGCTAAATTTAACTACTGGTCAAAATATCCTCAAGCCGACTTACGAAGAGATATAAATATTGGAGAAGACCCTATCTATTTCCTAGGCCCTGAATCAGCACCACGCATCGCAACATTACCAACACCATATCTTATACTCGATCTTTGCGGCTCCAAGTTTTATCAGACGGATGAACAAATGAAACTTATGGTCAAACATTTCCGAGGAAAATGGCCTAGCAAACCGGTCAAACCTTACAAACCAAAATCAGATCATCAAGCTGTTACCTTTATTGATGAATGCGATTGTAATAAATGGCTCTCTACTCCTAGAGCTGTCGACCGACGATGGACCACCAAGATTTACGAAGCCTTAGACCGCTGCCACATCGCCGACCACTGGGTAGATGACAGTCTTTAAAACATCTCCACACTCATCACAACACTGATCACCATCTGCCAGTGTGTGCTCCACCATGCCACAAACGGTGTCCACACTACTAAGCATCCACACTACTGCTTAGTATCTATACTGCTTTATATACATGCTGCCATTCTACTGTAAGTATTCTCTAGAAATACTGCATAAAATCAATGCAGCTGTTGTCGGAGGACTTTGATGACCATTCGGAACGTTTGGTCAGTAGGCGGCAAGGGACGGGAGATCTTCGCCGAACACGACTTTGGTGACTGGAGGACCCAATTGTTGAGGACCCAATTGTTGAGATCTATCTATCGTGGGCGAATCTATTAGCGTCGTAAAAAATGCCATTTTTTTACGACGAAAAAAGTGAGCTTGCAGGCGGCCGAGGCTCAACATGACTGAGTCGTGTAACCACTCAGCCACGTGCCTAGGGAAGCTCTCCCCCGGGCGACACAACGACCACGCAGCAAAGATAGCGCCGAATAAGTTTTTATCTTTCTTTTGGGGTTCAACTCCACTCGCCTTCAATCTTCAGTTCTCTCGCTATCATCATCCTTCAAGCCATCATAGCATCGTCGCCATGGACCAGCCTTCAGTCAGTCGCGCGCCCTCACCTCGAAACATGGTGGACGACCTGGGTACCCGCGACTCTTCACCGAAGACTATCGACCACTCGGGGTCCCCCAAGGGAACCACGGAGTGGGTCATGTTCGACGATTCCGATGCTGAAGGTAACGACCTTCTCTCGAACGACGGAGGAACCATCTTCGACCGCTTCTCCTCGTCCGATGCAGACAAGAAAAGAGTCCGCCACCTCATCAAAGACCTCGGTGGCGACGTCACCTTCAAACCCCTCAATGAGGAAGAGTTCGACGAGCTCCTTATCAAATGGAAGCGCGTCGCATCTTCCATGATGTACTCTCCAGCAGAGTTGAAGGAGGTTATCATCCTGAAAACCACCTCCGTCAACCAAGACCTCATAGCCCGGAGAGGTCTCATGAATCTCCCCTTCCCAAGAGTTCGTGGATGCCTTCGCCGCGCACCTCTTCCCCTTCAG